GCAGACACATGTTATACCTGCACTCTCACATGGTCATTCCAGGGTGTATGTCTGTGTCCTGATCACTTCTTAATAAGAAAGGTTGTGTCAGGGCCCTCTGTGGTGACATCACTAAACCTTAATCACCTCTTTAGGCCCATGTGTAGACCTGGCCACTCAGAGGTTCTGGGTATAGGAGTTTAGCAGGTGACTTTGTCAGACATGTCTGGGTGCTTCAAACATGCCTCATAGCCACATTGGCTACACATGGACTGAAAGTCTGGGATATAGACACAACCAGAGCTGGTATAAGAGGGAGGATGTGGCCGCGTGCAGTAGGGCTCTGCACCTCTCTGTCTTCCCTGCATGGGGTTTAGGAGCAAGCTCCTTTGCAGCCTGTGTAAGGTTAGGAGGAAGTGGAGTCTCTCTTGCTGGCATGGTGAGCTAAGGGTGTCTTTCATGCTCCTGAGCCTGTATGTAGTCCTACCATGTGTGTCCAGATCTTAGGTGAGACAGTTGGGTTCCTGCCCTCTAAGAGATGGCATCCTGCAGATAGTGTAGACAGTACCATGACAGCCTTTGTCTTCACAGATGTGTGGTAGGATGCAGTGCTGGAATTCCTGGAGGGAGTGACCTATGTAGAGATGGTGATGCCAGAAATCAGGTATCTTGCTAGGAAGGAGCAGGATGGAACCTTCCATCTGGGCCCAGGCTGAGCCTCATGTAGGGGGCAGAGCACAGGGTAACCTAACAGGAGTGGACCATTGAGAGGATGAGGACTCTGCCGTGGAGGTGCCTCTGCTGAGTACTCCCTTTGAGGACCCATAAGTGGGCAGCCAGGCTGGGGTCTATGGCCTTGACTTCCCCCTCCCTCTGTAGGCCTCCTCTTGGAGGAGGACCCTTCCCACCCTCCTGAGTCATTTACATGGATTTACATACATTGTTTCATGAGCCTTGATTGTTTCATGAGCTCATCTGGAATATAAATAACTTTCACTTCAGGGCCAGGGATTTAGCTCAGTGGCTCAAGGGCTTGCCTGGTAAGAGCAAGGTTGTGACTTTGATCCATGGTATCAAAAAATAAAAAAATAACATTCACCTCCTCAGTCTCCCTCTCACTGCAGCCACTCAAACACCCCTCCTTTCTCATTAGGAGCCAGTGAATGCTCCTATTTTTATTTTTCCTTTATTGCTTAGCAGCCTTTCTTCTGTGGAGGTCTAGGGGCTTGCCAGACTTTGACTGCCTTGAGTAAAGCAGAGGGATTTGAGTGTGGATAGTGATACTTACGTGTCCCCTCAGATGGCAGGCACCTGCCTCCTGTGCTGCCCTGCCTGGGCTCCCGTGGGGAGACAGCTGTGGGAGAGGCTGACTCCACAGCAGGATAAGCATCAGTGTCCATGACTCATTCAGTTTTAAGGGGCCAGTGAGAAAACTCATGTGTAAGGAAGCCTGGCTGCCTACCTGGGCCCCATGGGGTGACACCCTGGCCTGCACAGCTGGGAGTCCCCATCAGGAGGCAGAAGGTCACATCTGCTCCTGCCCAGCCCTGTTCTTATTGCCTCAGAACCTGCCAGAGAGCAGAAATGAGAGGCTGGAAGTTGCTTACCTCCTGAGGTTTTTCCTCTGCAAGTGTCCCTTGCTTGAGGCTGGTGGTGCTAAGGCTTGTGCAGATCACCTGCTCTTCCCTCAGCTTGTCCTCAGCTTGTCCTTCCCACAGCCTCAGAGTGGGCTTCCCCTTCACAGACAGCTCCATATCTGCTCCCAAAGGCAGGATCCCTGTTGCTTATGGCTCTGTATGTTGGCTGTGGTGATGGGGCCATAGGCCTGCAAGACCTAGAGAGAAGGAAGTAACCCTGGAACCAATTATCAGAGTGGATAAGGAGTGGCCAGAGATAATGGGAAAGGTGGCTGTGGCTAGTTGTGTAAGCAGTTGACTGGGTAACCCATGCCTGGTGTTGTCCTGGGAGTGCAGTGAAGAGGCCAGGATCAGAGCTGGTAAGGCCCTGGGGTAAAGCTTTTCCCCACAGCTATGACAATAGCCACAGGTGGGTGAGGTCAGGCTGAAGATAGGGAAGCCAATGTGACCACTGCTGGAGGTGGAGGACAGCAGCTCTTGCCAGCCAGAGGACCAGGTAGGTTTAGGAGAGAGGAAGGAATGACTTACTCTTTATTTCTTCAGATGCAAAGATTGCATAGAGCTTGCGTGATAACACGCAAGATGATATTGTGGTGGCCCCATTGTTCCTTTTTCTCCTGAGAGAAACTTATCTGCTATGGAGGCTTACCATAGTGCTGAGCACATGCCAGGGGACCTTGTAACTATGAAGCTTGCTGCTTGGCTGAGAAGATATGGCATAGTCTCTCCTCTCAGCCAGATTGATCTTCTGTACCTCCCCATAGCTCTTGGTTTAGCTGTGGAACTAGTTACAGGGCAAGGGCTGTAGATGCCTCATGAGATTGGATAACTCATGTCCTATCCCTTGGTGTCTGCCAGTATCCAAGGGAAAGGTGCTGGGGGCTGTGAGTGATGAAGACCAGTGCTCTTCTAGGAGACAGAAAGGGAGAAAAGGAGACTGGGTCTGGCTGTAGAGGAGGCCATGGGAAGGACAGCCATGAATAACAGCTTCTTAGGGTCCCTGGGGTGAACAAAATTCCCAGGCAGGGACTCCTAGGAGATGACTGATCCTGCCACCCCTTGATCAGGGAAAATAAAGATCTTAAATGACTATCTAGCCAAGAAGAGGCACTATGACCAGGACAAGAAAATCACTATTCAACCCCAGGGCACTCTCAGTCACTCCTGGGTATTCAGTGAGTCTCCACTAGGGTTTTTGTCAATGTAACTGGCTCTGTCACCAAAGGGGATGGTTCATAGCAAGGTCTCAGGTTAGAGGTGCTGTGTGTGACTTTCACTGTGGCTTTTTCACAGGTAGCCTCCAGACAAGTCCCATAGTGGTTGAGAGTCCATCTCTCTTTGGGCTAATTCTAAATTGTGCTAAAATACATGTGACAGTTAAGATTAACTGTCAACTTGATTGATTTGGGAGCCACCTAGGATATTAGTAAAGCATACTACTAGGTGTGTCTGGGTGGTCTCTGAGTGTATGACTTGGAGTATATATCTTACCCCCACATTCCTTGTGAACATTGTCCCCCTACTCTGTTTTCCATGAACTGAGTTCCCATGAACTTGAGAAGTTTCTTCTGCCATGCCCTTCCTCTATGACATTTCTGCCTTGGATGTAGCTGGCCATGAACTGAACCCTCTGAAGCTGCCAGTCAAAGTAAACCCTGCCTCCTTAAATTGTGGGTTTTAGGTATTATGTTTCAGTAAGGGGAAAGCTGCGCACCTTATATTTACCTACCCCTCCCCTTTTTCTTTCTTTGTTGGGTACTGGAATTGAATCCAAGGCCTTTGTATTGGGCTACATTCCCAGACCATTTTTATTTTTTCTAAACAAGGTCTTGCTAAGTCATTAAGTTGCTTGGGTTGGGCTCAAGCTTGTGATCTGGCCTTAGCCTTCCAGAGTGCTGAAGTAACAGGTGTGTGCCAATGAGCCTGGGCCATCTTTACCATTTTTAAGAGTACAGGTTGCTAGTGTTAGGTGTGTCTTCATTGTTGCACAGTCATCACCATCATCTGTTTCCAGAGCTCATCTCATTTTGCAAAAAAAGAAACTGTCCACACTAAACACTAACTCCCCATTGTTTCTGCCAAGTTCCCTGCTCCCCATCCTACTTTCTGCCTATGAACTTGACTCCTCTAAGAACTTCATGTAAATGGAATGGCAAAGCACTTGTGCTTTTGTTACTGGCTGATTTCATAGAGGAGAACATCCTCTAGGTTCCATCTTCCATGACTCAGGAGATTTCTTTAAAGGTGAACAACACTGCATCCAATATGTTTGTCCACTCATCGATAATGGTTGTTTGTGCTGCTTTCACCTATGTACTCTAGAAGCAAGGCTATTATAATTTGAGTGTGTAGGTTTTGCCTGAATCTCTGCTTCTAGATCTTTCAGGTCCATACATAGCCAGAAATGGAGTCTTTTGATCACAGCCATTCTACATTTTATTCTATAAGGAACACCCTACTGTTTTCTGCAGCAGCTGTACTGCTATGTCACAAAAATTACAACTTTCCCAAATTCTCACCACCTCCTGGCTTTGAGAGTGGCCACCATGATGTGTGGGAGCTCTTGTTCCTTATTTGCCATTTCCTTTTAATTGGTGACATTGAGCTTCTCCATAAGTACTTGTGCATCCATTGGTACATTTTTTGAGAAACACTCATTCACTCCTTTGCCACACTTAGTGGGCAAGAGACCTGGATGCTCCCACTGTGAAGCAGGGTGAGAAGGAAGAGGAGGAGATGTCATTGGCAAAGCTCTCAGGAGCCATAGAATAGGCAGCTGCAGGAATGGTAGAGGTGACTGGATGGCATTTTTAATGATAGAAACAGTGGAGAAAATGGTGAGGTGACAGCCACAGGGTTGCTGTTGATCAGAGCATGCCCTGCCTCATTGACCACTGCCCTCCTGTTTCTACAGGTGTGTGCATGGGGGAGGGAACAGGGACCTGCAGCTGTCACCACATTGGGGAGACATGATGACAGGTAGGGGAAGAAGTATTTGTTGGGATGGGCACAGGAGCTGATCCATCTGGCTTGTGAGGGTATTACAAACTGTTCTATCAAGGGTGGATATTGACTGGAGGCTAAGACCAAATCTGACATTCATCTGCCTATGTTTGACATTAGGAGCAATTCAGCAATCAGGATTTTCATAAATCTTGGAGTGACAGAGGGGATCAAACGAGGGGTGGGAGAAGCTGTGCAAATGGACAGCTGTTCTGCTAGCTGTTGGTGATACCCAGATAGAGAGGTATCCTGCTGGCCTGAGCCATGGTCACCCAGAAGCAGCACGGTTGGTTCAGGGCAGGGGTCTCTGCTGAGAAGAAGGTCCTTGTAGGGTGGAAACCTGACCTGGGATCATGAATGTCCCTCTTCTTTTTGTGACAGGTAAACAGAGGCAGGAGGACACTGTCATCCTTGGAGCACATGGTCTGATGGAAGAGGCACTGTGTAGTCCCTGCAGGTGTCTCTGTGTACAAGGGTACATTCAGCCGAGCACAGAGAAAGAATGTTCCTGAGCAGGGCTCCTGCCAGGATGTTGGGCAGGTGGGATGGGCTTGGCTTGTACCTAGTGACTGTACGGTCTCTGGGCCTCATGCTGTCCCCTTCTGTCCTGGCCCCACCCTGCCCTCTGTGTACCTTTACACTGGCTGTCTTTGTTCTGCCCCTGCTTTTTAAACGAGAATGTCCCTGAGCCCCTGCAGCCCCAATCATCTTTTTAGGTCCCCACTCCTTAGGTACCCATGGGGGTTTCCACACAGAGCCTGGGCTTTCAGACCCAGCTCTGCAGCCCAGAGGGTGATCCCATTCTACTCCTGGTTCTGCCCAGCTCTTGGCCTATGCCCACTATAGAACATGAGTGCTCCTCAGAACAAAGGCTAGGCTGGTGAAACAGTCTATAGGGACCCCATCCTGGTTTTTGGGGTGTCCAGAAAAGGGCCTAAGACCAGCATCAGGGGGCCTTCTCTTCCTGGTAGGGGAATGAAAGGGGACCAGAGATACAGCAAGAGCCCAGCAGGGCCTGATGGTCTAAGCAGTCATGTATGTCTAGCCTGATTGGGTCTTAGAGTGGGGAAAGTACTTGGTCAAGCCTTCCTGGGTCCCAGCTTCTGTCACACTAGGGCCTCTAGGGTCAGGAAGGCATCTTGCTCAGATCCTGCCCAGCCCTAAGGCAAAGCCCAGGCAGCAGTCAGCTCCCGTCTCTGCTGAGTGGCTGAATCTAGGTGAGTAGATCAGAGCTAAGGGTCTCACTGTCCCTGCCTCACATGTGAAGAGTCTTGACTGCCTGCACCCTGCAGACTAAGCACCCACAGGAGCTCCCTGGTGCAGCACCTAAGCAGTAGGGCCTTGTCAGAATCAAAGGCACTTGCTTCCCTTTTCTTTCAGGTGTGAGCACAAACAATGTGGTCACTTACTAAAGCATAAGGTTCAATGGCTACTATTGATTAGAGGGCTCCAGGTTGCACGTGGCAGAAGAAAGGCAATTTTCCCCTTCAGCTCAGCTCAGCAAACATCTTCTGAGTGCCTACTGTGAGCCTATACTTGGGCTGAGTGTATAGCACTGTTCTCTGGCCAGGAAGAGGTCTGAGGTCTTCATCCTCCATTTGCTGTCCTCTTAGCAAGGATGCAGAGAGTGGGTGCCCTAAGGACTTTGTGCCACTCAATCTACACACCTACCCAGTGGGCTTGGAAAGCTGAGGATTTGTCCAGGTTCAGCTGGCAACAAAGATTCACCTGTGACGTTTGACCCCACAGCCTGGCACCTTCAGCCTGGAAGAGCATGTTCTACACTTGGGCCACTGGCTGTGAGCGTAGGCCCTGTGATTGGGGGACTTTGCTTTTCTCCAGCAGTAGTGATGTGGCATGGAACTGGGCTCAGAGCATGGGCTTTGGCTATATGGATATGTTCACTTTTAAAATTTTTTTATTTTAAAAACAAAACAAGGTCACATTATTCACACCACTCTGCTTAGATTTTATTCTGTCCCAGTTTGTCTACTTGCATTAGATTTGAGGGCACAGACAGCTATCCCAAAAACATCAGGATATAGCACAGTAATCATCTTTAATTTCCTATTATCTTAATCTGGAGCCCTGTATTATACTGTTTTATCATGACTGATCTTAGTTAAATCTGGTTTGTTTGATTGCTGTTTGGTATTGACAGATTTTATTCAAAACTGATATGATAATACCAAGTCTGAGAGTATAGGCAACTACACTGAAGATGACAAAACTCTACGATACATATTCTGGTTTGATTACTGCCTGTTTTTGAAGTTCTATACTATATACAAAGTTGTATTTTTATTAATACTGTTATGTACTGATATATTCAATTATACTATGTCTGATGATATAGCCAATTCTACTGAAGATAACAAGAGACAACACAGGAACTATGTGAGAACTTCTTGTACAATGGGCTTATATATCTTTTTCATTTCATGTGTTTATAGGAATATTTTTTGTTTTGTCTTGCTTTTTGTTTCTCCCTCTAATATAGAAAGGATAGAAATACATATTAAGACTCAGGCATGTGTAGCATCTATAAACAGTTTATGAGAATTGATCTTATGACACATGATGAAATGGAGAGATACTTTGAAGAAAAAGAGACACTAAAGTACCCAGTGCTGATCCTGGAATGTCATAATGTGAAACCCAGCAATAGTATTATTCTTTGTTCAGAGTGATATTAGCCTGCTTGGGTTTGTTCAATCTCAACATAATTGAAGATATGGATAACTGCATGTATGTTGAAGTGTATAGGATTGATAACCATATTTCTAAGTTTTTATTGAATAGTTGAACTGAACTGGTTGCAGTCTCACTGTTTGAATCCCCACTTTATATGCTCCACTTTAGTATCTTGAATAACTATTTGTAAGACGACAATCTGTAATCTTCAACTAATGATCTGTTTATTTTTTCTTTGAAAAGTATGTATTATTTCTACCCATGTTCTATTTTGTTTAGTGTTTCTTTAAATAAATTTTTTTTTTAAAAGTCACTACAGTACCCAGTGCTCCAATGCTGATCCCGAGTGCCATGATGTGAAATCCAGCAATACTGTTATTCTTTGTTCAGAATGACTTTAGCCTGCTTTAGTTTGTTTAATCTCAACATAAATGAAGATATGGATAACTGCATGTATGTTTAAATGTGTAGCATTGACAACCATATTACTAAGTTTTTATTGAATAGTTGAACTGAACTGGTTGCAGATATGTTCCACTTTTGTATCTTGAACAACTATTTGTAAAAGGACAGTATGTAAACATTAACTAGTGATTTCTTACTGTTTATTTTTTCTCTGAACATATGCATTATTTCTACCTATTTTCTGTTTTGTTTAGTCATTCTTTAAATAAAATTTAAAAAAATAAAAATAAAAACAAAACAAGGATAGAAATGATGCAGGATTTCAAAAAAATAAAAAATTAATAGTACTTAATATAGTCTATATTGTTTTCAAAGTAGTTGTTCAAATTATAAGGCTTAGGCATGAAAAAATGATCAAACAATCAGAGAATGAAAGCACAAACTGTTCTTTGTGATGAACTTACAGTGATTGGTAACACAGTTATCTGTCTTGTATATATATATACGTACACACACATATATGTATACCTATATACATACAAACTTTTCCCTTTTTCCTTTTCTCCTTTCTGTTGTCCTAGTTGTTATTTCCTTTTGAGCACTTTCTTTCCTTTTCATTTTCACAATATTCTTTATACATTTTGGGTCTTACTACTCTTTCAGGTTTTTTTTTTAACATTATGGAGACAGTATGATATTTGCACATGTAAGTTTGATTTACTTCACTTATGAACATAGTCTCAAGTTGCAACCATTTACCTATAAAACCTTAAGTTTATCCTTCTCTATAGATGAAAAATACTCCACTGTATAAAAATGCCACATCTTTTTTGTCCATTCTGTGGTTGATTGGCATTTAGGTTGTTTCCAAGATTTAGTTAGCTATTACAAATTGTGCTGCATGTATATCACTGTGACATGATGTTTTCAATTCTTCTGGGAAAATACCCAGAAGTGGAGTAGCTGGATGGAATGGGACCTCCAATCCAAGTTTTTTGAGGAATCTCACACTGGTTTCAGTCTACACTCCCATCAACAGTGTTACTTTTTCCCCATAGCCTCACCAACATTTGTTATTGGTTGGTTTCTTGATGGCAGCCATTCTTTCTGGAGTGAGATGGAATCTCAGTGTTGTTTTAATTTGCATTTTTCAAGTGACCGGTGATGTTGAACATTTCTTCATGTATTTATTTGCCACTTGTATTTCTTTATCTGAGAAGTGCACGTTCATTTCAGATGCTCATTTTTGGAGAGGGTCTTTGAATTTGGGGGTCCTGATGTTTTTCCATTCTTTATATATTCTAGATATATAAGTCTTTTGTCTGAGGGACTGTTGGCTAAAATTTTTTCCCTTCTGTGGGTTTTCTTTTCACTCTGTTGGTGATTTGTTTTGAAATGAAAAGCTTTTGAATGAGATGAAGTCCCAGTTGTTGATTCTTTGAAGTACTTCTATGTTATTTGCATTTTGTTCATGAACTCTTTGCCTACCCTTATGTTTTTAAACTTTCTATCTACCTTGTCTTCCAGTAAATTTCCTGTTTCTGTTTTAATATTCAAACCTTTGATACATTTTGACTTTAGTTTAGTGCATAGCGATAGACATGGTTCTAGTTTTAGTCTTCAGCATTTTTCCAATTTTTCCAGCACCATTTATTAAAGAGCCTATCTTCTTTCAGTGAACATGTTTCTCTCCTTTGTCAAAGATAAGGTAGCTGAGTGTCTTTGTAGTTGTTTCTGCATCTTCTAATCTGTTCTACTGATTGTCAGGTCTGTTTTTTTTTCCTCCAAGTATCATGCTGATTTTATCACAGTAGCTTTGGAGTAAAATTTCTAGTCAGGGATTGTGATGTCTCCTGCCTTGCCTTTGTTGCCCAGGATAGCCTTTGCTATTCTAGGTCTCTTCTGTTTCCAAAGGAATTTTGGGAATGTTTTCTCTAGATCTGTGAGATATGTTAATGGTAGTTTCATCAAGTGTGCTTTAACTATGTATAACAGTTTTGAGATTATGGCCATTTTCACTATGTTGGTTCTTTCTCTCCAAGAGTGAGGGACATCTTTCCATTTTCTAATATTATCTTTAATCTCCTTTTATAAAGTACTATAGTTTTTTAATGTATAGAGATCTTTTGCACCCTTTGTTAGGCTGATTCCTAAATATTTCATTTTTTGAATGGTATTGTGAAAGGTGATATTTCCATAATTTGTCTTTCAGTTAGTTTTTGTGTAAAGGAGTGCTATTGATTTTCGAGTATTGAGCTTTTATCTAGCTACACTGCTGAATTTGATTATTAACTCTAATAGTCTTCTGATAGAGCTTTTGGAGTCTTCTATCTAGGGTATCATGTCATCTATAAATAGTGATAATTTAATTTCTTCCTATCCTTATTCCTTTTATTTCTCTCACTTGTCTAATTACTCTGGTTAATGTTTCCAGAACTATATTGAATAGGAGTGGTGATAGTGAACATCTTTATTTTGTTCCTGATTTTAGAGTAAGAGCTTTCAGTTTTTGTCTGCTTAGTATGACGTTGGTTGTTGGTTTGTTATAGATGACTTTTATCAGATTCATGTATAGACAATCTGTTCTGATTTTCTGTAGGTTTTTTTTTTGTCATAAGCAAGTGTTGGAGTTTATCATAGAGCTTTTTTTCCATCTATTCAGATGATCATGTGAGTGTTTTTGTCTTTAGCTCTGTGGGGGTGGAGTATTACATGTTGATATGTTAAACCATCCCTACATTCTTGGGATGAATATTACTTGGTCTACAATCTTCTTGATGATGTGCTGCATTGTATTTGCTGGTATTTTATTGAGAATTTTTGCAACAATGTTCATTATGGATATTGACCTATAGTTCTGTTTTAGGTTGGGTCATTCTCTGGTTTTGGTATCCGAGTAATACTTATCTCCAAGAATAAATTATTCTTCTTGATTCAGTTTTGATAATTCATATATTTATAGGAATCTGTCCATTTCCTCTGTGTTTTTCAGCCTATGTAAGTAAGGATTTTTAAAGTAGCTGTTGATGATTTTCTGAATTTCCACAGGATATGTAGTAATTTACCCTTTTCATTGCTTTTTGCATGAATTTGAGCTTTTTCTTTCCTCTTTTTGATAAGATTGGCAGAGGTTTATCAATTATTTTTATTCTTTCAGAGGACCTACTCTTCATTATTTGTATTGTTTTCTTAGTCTCAATTGTGTTAATTTCTGCTCTGATCTTTATAATTTCCTCCCTTCTATGAGCTTTGGGCTTGACTTGCTCTTTTTTTTTTTTTTAAGATGCTTGAGGTGCAGCATTAGATTGTTTATTTGTGCTCATTGTGTTTTCCTGATGTGACAATTCATTGCTACACATTTCCCTTTTAGAACTATTTTCCTTGCATCCCATAGGTTCTAGTATATTGTATTGGCATTTTCATTGAATTGTAGATATTGTTTAATTTCTTCTTTAATTTCATCTTAAACCATTGGTTGTTGAGGAGGGTGTTGTTTAATTTCCATGTGTTTATGTTGGTTTTGCAGTTTCTTTTGCCATTAAATTCGAATTTTGGTGCATTATGGTCAGATAAGATGCACAAGATAATTTCAATCTCTTTGCAATTACTTAAGCATGTTATATGGACTAATATATTGTCTACTTTAGCGAATGTATCATGTGCAGCTGAAAAGAATATGTATTCTGATGTTGCTGGGTGAAACACTGCAAAGTCTAGTAAGTCCATCTGTTCACAAGTTTGATTCAGTTCTGTTATTTCTTTGTTGCCTTTTTGTCTGGTTGATCTATCTCTTTCTGATAATGGGGTGTTAAGTTCTCTTGTTGCAATTGTTATTGAATATTTAATTTTTCATGTCTATTAGTATTTGTCTTATATAGTTGGATGCTTCTGTATTTGGTGCATATATAATTATGATTCTTACCTCTTCCTCTTCAATTTTTCCCCTAACAATTATGTAGTAACTTTATCTCTTTTGATCATTTTTGGTTTGAAGTTCCCATTGTCTGCAAACAAAATAGCTACCCCTGATGTTTTCTGGGTTCCTGTTGCATGGAATATTGTTTTCCATCCTTTGTCTTTCAGCCTATGAGTTTCTTTTTGAGCTATATGTGTTTCTTGTATGCAGCATAATGTTGGATCCTGTTCCTTGATCCATTCTGCCAATCTATTTCTTTTAATTTGTTAATTGAGGCCATTTGCATTGACAGTTATAATTGATATGTACTGGTTTAACTTTGTCATGTTATTTTCCTGTTGTTGGTTTCCTGCTTTTTCCCCTTGTTTAATTGCTTGCCTTACCTGGAGATTTCTTTTTGTTGTTCTTCTGGGAATTGTGGTCATTTTTTTTATATCTATCTAGACTGTCTTTTAGTACTCGTTCTAGGGTTGGCTTGGTGAACATGAATTTCTTCAGTTGTTCTTGGTCGTGGTAATATCTTATTTCTCCACTAACTTTGAAAGAAAGTTCTTTAGGTTACATCAATCTGGCCTGAAAGTTGTTTTCTTGCAGGGCTTGAAATACTTCACTCCAAGCTCGTCTTGTTGAGGATTTGTGTTGAGAAGTCTGCCATGATTCTAATGGGTTTTTCTTGACAGGTGAGCTGATTTTTTTTTCTCTAGCAGATTTAATATTCTGTTTTTATGCTGAAATTTCTGGGATATTCATTATTATATGTCTGGGTATAAATTTATTTTGGTTATGAATGTTTGGAGTTCTATATGCCTCACTTGTCTATATATCAGATTCTTCCCCCATGCTTGAGAGATTTTTCTGCTATTATTTCTGCAAATAGGTTTTTTATGTTGTCTGCATTGACTTCTGTATTTAACTGACACCTATTAGTATTATATTGTTTTTCCTTGCATTGTCTTGGAGATGTTGAATTATTATTGCATGATCCTTTGTTATTTTTAAGAGTTATTTCCTGGGGCTGAGGATTTAGCTCAGTGGCATAAGTGCCTGCTTTGCAAGCACATGGTTGTGAGTTCAATCCCCGGTACCGATAAAAAAAGAGTTATTTCCTTTGTGATCACTAGCTGTGATCCTATCTTCAAGATTTGAAAGTCTATCTTCAGTTTTGTTCAAGCAGTTTTATAGCTTTCAGTGGAATATTTAACTTACTGGATGTCATGGTTTATGTTTGTGTCCCCCAGGCCTCATGAGTTTGAATTGTGCATTTGTTATTCTGCTTGGATTGATGGTGTTAGTGCTACACCCACTTAGGGGTGGAGCCAGGATGTGATGTAATGGCAGGAAGGTGTTTCTTGCTCTCTTTGCTGGTTGGAGTTTGCTGTTTGCAGCCACCATGAAAGGCTGCCCAGCCATGCCCGCCTACCTGGGAGCCAACTGAGTGTGGACTGAAACCTCCAAAACTGTAAGAAATAAACCTTTCCTTTCCCAACTTGGGCTTCAGGTATTTTGTCTCAGCGACGAGCAAAAAGTAACTAACACACTGGATATTTCTTTGAATTTGTTTCATTCATTGTATTTTTTTCCTACATTGTTCCTTCAAGGTTTCTGTCATTTTCCCATGCTGCTGTACTTTTTTAATCTATGTCTTCTCTACCTATGCTGAACAACTCCTTTATTAAGTCTGTCATTTCTTTGTTTACCTGTGGCATTATTTCTAATCTAATTTCCTCGATGGCCTCATAGATTTCTCTCTTTATTTCACTTGCTATCTTTTCAGGAATTTTAGGTGTGTGACTTCTAATGCCCTTTATTTTGATGTCTCCTGTACTTGTTCAAGATGGGTTGGGTGTTTGAGATAGCATTTTGCATTTTGGTTTTGTCATTTTCACCTTTTGGGTTAATATCTTGATGTTTTCAATCCTGCTAGTTTTTACTGTCCATCATCTGTGTCTTAGGGTCCTACCATGTGGCTGACATTCACCCAGTTGCTGAGTCTGCACTCTCACTAGCTTTCTGAGGTCCTCCAAGTGTGGGAAAGTGTTGCCGAGGCTCCCACCAGACCACAAGGTAGTGCAGGTGGTGAAAGGTGTTGCTGATGGTCTGTGGTATGCTGAGGTTGTGCAGGTGTGAGGGAGTGACAGCTGAGGCTCCCCTTGTGCTGAGGTCTTTCAGTTGTAGGGGTGGTGTGGCCAAGGGTCCCTTCAACTGCTGAGGTCTTTCAGGTGAGAAAGAGGGGAAGCCAAGGTTCCCCTTTACTTCTGAAGTCTTCTGAGATCAGGGGAATTGTGGCCAATGCTCCTTTCCAGTGCTGAGGTGTTTTGGTGCTTAATGTTCACTTCTTTTGCTAATAAGCATGTCACCCCCTCATATGGGATGGGCCTCCCTCTCACAGATGGGAAGGGTATTTACAGTACTAGCAACAAGGCAGATGCCACTATGGGTCCAGAATGGAGCCTGCTTTGACATCCACAGAACTAGGTGGTTTTGGACTTCTAAGCAGGGTGGGAAGGGGGCAGGTGGTGGCAGACTCTTTTCCCTCCTTCACTGCCTGCCACCTAGGGCCTACATCCCCTCATGGCCTGTCTCACTCTGTCTATTGCCCTAGGCTTTCCCTGCTAAGAAGGTTGTGAAGGAAAGACAAGGCTATAGATCCCAGTGGCTGCTTCCTAGAGATTTTCACCTGCCTTCTGCACACCTAGGGAGGGCTCAGTCACCCATACAGCAGCCTGTCCTCAGTGACACTTACTTGTACTAAGTCCTAGTCTGGTGCTGGGGGGATGGTGACAGGTCCTTCAAGTCACCCCACCTGGGTGAAGATTCTAGAGTGAGAATTCAGAAATGAGAATTCTCTGTGCTGCTCTGCCACTTGGGATTCACTCTCCTACTGTGACTTCACAAATCCTGAAGCACAAGAGCAGCTTCAGGGTGAGGGTCTGATAAGCACACAGGCTGGGAGTCCTGTGGGAAATATGCCTTCCAACTTTCTCATTTCATGATCCCTGCTAATGATATCTGCCTGCATCTACCTTCTACCCATCACCTGTCTACCCATATAGACAGATGGAAAGATCTATCTGTCTTTCCATCCATCCATTATCTGTCTCATGTTCTGTTCTAATTCATCCATCATTCATCTTTCCATTTTTCCATCTACCCATCCATCCTTCCATCTACCCACCCATCTACCTTTCCAAATTCATCCAGCCTTCCCCCCATCCTTCATTGATCCATTCAACCATCCATCCTTCCTTCGTCTATCCAATAAACCATCCACATAACCACTTTGTATTCCTCATGTACACACTCCCTACTCTGCTCTTGATGTGTGACCAAGTGTTCATGGTGACACCAGCACAGCAGCCATGCAGACAGCGCTCAGTGTGGGAGGGAGCAAGGAGAAAGGGGATGAGTTTATTCTGATGGTCAAGGCTGGCCCATGTCTACCATTTTTCTGCACTTGTACTTGGGGGTACAACTCTTCCAGGTGCTGGGGTGCTGGGGTGCAAGCAGAGATGTGGGCTCTGGACAGGAGACAAGCTTGCTATATACACTTACATCTGGCTGTAGCATATAGACAGTTGGTGCTGGAACCCTTGGTCTGTGACCATGGCAGTAACTTGGCTGGATGTCACTTGGCTATAGTAACAGTTGGAGTCAAATTCAGAGTCCCTCTGCTAGGTGTGGCTGTGATTCAGAGGAGAGTTCCCAGTTGCACCAAAGCCTACTGAGATGTCCCTCACACTCTGCCTTAGATCATGCAGGATGAGCTTATCTCTGCATGCTCTGTTAGCTTCTAGGCACCCTTGGGTCAGTAGTTCACCCTGTTTATTTTTCTGTTGCATCCCTTGTTACTTAAGTGTAACTTTTCCTGCATCATCAGAATCCTGTAGGTCATTGTGCCCCAGGTGCCAGGGTGTGTCATGGGAGGTTATAAGAGGAGTGACATAGTGACTCGATGTTTCTTTGATATCTGTTGTTACATCTTGAAATCCATTCTACATTCACAATGCAGCCATGATTTTTTTTCTGTTCTAAATGTAGTAAAACAATTACCAGTCAATTCACTTCCTTTCCCAGCACCGTTTTCAGACAATCTTAATGCCCAACAAGAGCCTGAGGCTCCCAAGGCTCTGTGCACACTCTGTGGTATGCTGCTGGGGACGTGGTGGAGGGCAGTGCTTGGCAGCTGATGAAGACTAGGACAGGGGTGCTCTGTGATCAGGGCAAAGTGTGCCTGGATACTAGAGGAGGACTGCAGGCTCAGTCAGTGTCCAGATGTGTTCCTGTGTCTCTAGGCCTCACTGAGTCAGGCATTCTCATGGTTAAGTGAAGATTAGGGAGGGAGAGGGGGAAAGAGCCAGAACTGTACCAGCACACAGCAGATGCCAGGTAAATGTAAGTACCACATTACTGTCTGCTGTGTGCCTGAGGTTGGACTACATGGCTATTCTGCCTCAATTACCTCTTCTGCCATATGTTTATTGCCTGTTCATTCCTTTGCTCATTTGTTAACTCTTCCAGGTGCTGGGGTGCTGAGGTGGCCCTGACACATGCCTCTGGGACCACACATACCCATGGGACCACCAATACATGCTGGAGGGTCCCACAGAGCACAGCAACAAGGAGGATCTAAGGATGTGATAGCTCCAACTGAGCGAGTGCTGAAGACTCCTGTTGTCAGCGTAGAGTTCAAATTGGGTTAGTAACCAGAGCTGAGTCTCTAATTTAATGACTGGCAGAGTAAGCCCAAGGCTTCTGGAAATATCCACAGCCCTCACTAGGCCTAAGGCAAGAGTTGAGAGGTCAAGTGACCCCGTAAAGATCAGACCCTTGGGTCTGCTACTGCCACCAGAAGCTATGTAGGACCCAGTTGGGATGAAGCTTTGTGTTAAGGATGTGTGGTACTGACCCACATGCAGTGAAAATCACAGATGAGGGAAAGTACACCCACTGCTCCTCAGACCTGGGTCAGGAATCCTGAGAAAGGAGGGTAAGAGGCCAGTGGGTGGGATGTTTTCTAAGCCAGGAACCTGACAGGCCAGTCATGCCTCCATCTGAGCCCATCAGTCCCCACTCATAAATCACTACCTGCCAGGCATAGCCAGGCCCCAAACTAGCAACAATCGAATAGCTTTTCCTAACAAATGGAGTAGGCCCACGAAAGGGTCCTGAGTCTTCTCTGTGGACCCTAAATGCCAAGGAAGGGCAGTGAGGGAGCAGAAGCCCATAGACCAGGAGCAAGGGATATTCACATTCAGATGGGGACAAACAAGGTATGTGAACTTGTCGGGATGAGTCCTTGTTGCCGTAAAGGCTGGGGGACTTGATTCATGGATGTGGAGATGGTTGTGCCCAAGGAAGGCCTGTGTGACAACAGGCAGATCAGATTGTTTTGAGTGTCATGCCATATCCTGAGACACATCAGCAGGTCCACCATCACTGTCCCTGGGATTTGTACAACAACAGGTTGGAGATGATGAGTGATGGAAAGACTCAACAGGATTGGTGGCCACAATCACTGAGCAGGAAATGGATGCAGTGCTGCAAGCCATCCAGGTGGAAGGGCTGGTGTTACAGAAGCCCATATGGAAGGACCCGCCTCTCTTGAGGAGGTCTAAGGACCAGGGTATAGAAGGGAACCAGTGTTCACAAAACAGGATGGGTCTAACCATGAAGTAGGTGTTCAGGGCAGGAACTAGGTAAGGAGGTATCCTAGTCCTAGTCATCAGGCAAAGAACTCAGTGTGGGGCCTGGCAGTGGTTTCGAGAGTGGCTGGACTTGATGAGGGGAGTAGTCTGGGGCTGCCAGGAAAAACATAGATGACCCAGTTCTGTATGAATTGTAAATAAGCAACAAGTGACTGTTTAATATAAGCATGCCTTAGATATTACATGAGACATATGTGTACTAAAACACCCCTTTGACTGTATCTGAAATTCAAGGTTAACTGGCCATTTTATGTGTATGTTGTAGCCTAGGCTCAAGGGAAATGGGCTAGAAGCTTTGTTCTAGTCCATCAGTGGGCTAAAGAGAAGGAGAGAAGGTAGTCTTGACCTGAGAATTGAAGCATGAGACAGTTCTCCTGCCTATCAGGTAAATTCCAAGGAGGCCCTGAGAGGTTCCCACCACAACCTGTCTAGGGATGGCCAAAACCTGAGTGGGCAGGATGGAGATATATGCTCATACCCTCATCTTTATGGAGTCCATTGATGATTACAGTCTCTGAACACTATCTGAATAGCCAAGCTTGTCTGTGACCAGTCCCCCAGGAAGAAAGGTTGGAGATCCCAATCCCCAGCCTACCTACCCTGTACCTCTCTAAAGCCCTGTGGCTGCAGCCTTGTGAGCTTGGGCATGCTCTGCATTGCCCCAGATCCTATCTGGCCAGTGCAGTGCTTCAGGGAATAGAGCACTGGTGACTGTGAGCCCTGGCCATATCTTCTGGGAATCCTAGGAAGTGTAGGTCTCCAACGCAGGACCTGAGGAGGGCTGTGGAGAGAGCTGAGGCTGGCATTGACTAGCTCAGGTGTTTGGGGGTCTGGCATGCTGTGGTCCCTAGGATGTTAAGAACTACCTTGCCATGGGGTTCTTAGAGAATCTCAGAGTTTCCAATCTCATTTTCATTAGCAAATTAGTGTAAGTTAATCAAAAACCCTAGAACAGGCAGATAGGTAAAAATAAGCAAGAAAACACCATCCATGGCCCCAGGGCACCAGGGTCTGAGGACCCCAACAGTCAGAGACAAGGGCATCTCATGTCCTGGATTATGATAATCAAGGGAGGTGGGACCTCTCACTGGCCACTGTCCCACTGAACGAGTCATTCAGCTCAGCACATCTCATATGCAAGCTCATGTGTGGGTGCATCATCTTTTTAACAGAGCATGAGTGTCTTATTTCATGGATGTTTTATAGGAAAGCTAGGACTGGAAATTCCCTGTCCCTGAATTTCTGACATGAAAATTGTGCTCCCGAGGAATGCACCAGCCTGTAGACTATAATGGGAAAAGTCTGCTGATGAATTTGATGTGGTGATCTCTTTTTTTAAAATTTAAAAACCAAACCAAACCAAACAAAAAAAGGATAAAAACAATACAGAATTTCAAAAAAATAGGAAATTAATGCTAATTAATATATTGTATATTGTTATTTTGGAAGTAGTTGTTTGAATTGCAAGACTTAGGCAAGAAAAAATGATAAAACAATCCAACAATGAAAATACAAACTATTCTTTTTGATGAACTTGCAGAGATTAGTAGCACAGTTATCTATCTTGTGTGTGTGTATAAATATATATATACACACATATGTATATGTATACCTATATACATATAGTCTTTTCCCTTCTTCCTTTTCTCCATTCCCCCATTCCAGTTGTTCTTTCCTTTTGAGCATTTCATTTCCCCTTCATTTTACAATATCTATTGTACATTTTCAGTCTTCTTTACTCTTTTTTTTTAATTTACACCAGAGAGACAATACAATATTTATACACGCGACTCATTTATTTCATTTATGAATATGGTCTATAGTTGCATCCATTTACCTATAAAGCCTCAAGTTTATCCTTCTTTTATAGCTGAGTAATACTCCATCGAGTAAAAATACCACATCTTTTTTATCCATTCTGTAATTGATGGGCATTTGGATTGTTTCCGAGATTTCTTCCTAGGAGAGCAGAGGGAGGAACTAAGGAGGTCTTATCATTGTCTTTATTATCTTCTTTTTTAAAGACAATAAGGTTGGAGACCAATAGGGCAAAAAAGGGTTTAATAATGCCATGTAGATATTTGATAATGGTAGCATTTAATAAGGCCAGCATGGGACATGTGTGGATATGGAGTGACTTTTCTAGACTTGTTTAAAATATTTTACAGGACATTTTAAATTGCTCTGGTCCTGTTTTCCCTAATGATGTGGCCACACCCACACATGTTTTAGTTGGGGTGGGAGAGACCATTCATTTTACAGAAACCAGATGGGCAGTACCATTTGTCTGTGGCATCCTGCACTGGCTGGGCAGGTGGACTGTCCCCTGCCAGCAGCTGTGAATCTGTGGGGATGGGGCTGTGGTTCTGCTCGACTTGGATTATATATCATGCCATGTGGTAAATGCTTGTGGGTAGGGTTGCTAGGTTTAGCAAATAAAAACAGGACACCCTGGTAAATCTGATTTCAAAAAACAGATTTTTAGTAAAAGAATGCTTGTGGATCATTAGGGGCACAACTATATGAGAGTATTATTTGTCAGAACAGGGGTGTGATGGGTCCCAGGGAGAGATGGCTGTGAAAGGCAATGGTCCACAGGCTCTGGCAGCAGCCCTGTGTGCTTTCCCCTCTCTCTGGTGAGATGCCTGTGCAAGTGCTGCCAAGCAAAAGAGGAGAGGTCGGAATCCCTGATGGGGCAGCTGGGTGAGGCACAGGGCAGGACACTGTCATTGATGAGGGAGTGGATGGACCTTCCATCTCCATTGTAAGGCAAACACCAAGAATGAAAGCTACAGATGCAATCTGAGATTTCAGAAGGCCTCTGGGAAGGAGCAATTTTATCTGCATAGAAGGGGCAACCCAAACACAGGACAGGAAAACTACCCAGCTGAACAAGCTCCGAGTGCATGCTTGTGTGTGTGCAATGTGTGCTTCTACACACATGCATGTATGAGAAGCAAGCTTCCAGGTGTGTTCTGGCAGGATCTTCAAAAAGAATTCAGTAAATACCTGGGGATAGAAAAATAAAAACTGGGATGTATGTTAATTTATAGATGTGAGCTTGTCTTATGAGTTCTCAAATGAAACTGTGTCAAGAACAGAATGGAATGAATCTGTGGAGTGAGAGGACAGATGGTGTCTGGCCCTGATGCCGAGTCCCACTTTGTCTCCAGAAATGCATGTGTTAGAGACCTTTCCACTCTTGTGCTCTCTGGAACTGAATTGCTGAAGTAAATGAAGAACATGAAGAACTAGAGTGTCAGGTGGCCATCAGTTTCTAAGCCTGCAGCAACATCCTGGCTGGGCATCTCTGCAGGTCTGCATCCAGATTGTCCTCCACAGGAAGGAACCTCTTGATGCCTCTGGACGTGTAACTTGAAGAGGCCCTGGACAAAGCTCTGCATGGAAACTTCCGTGGTGTAGCTCTGTGTTCAAGGTGACCCTCGACTGGATGTGCAGGTTCCTGAAGAAGATACTGTCTTAGGATTCATCTGTCAAGGCTTTAATTAAATACAATCACAATGGTGAATGTTTTTTTAAAAAAAAAAAAACTAAGCCCAGAAAAATTAAAAAATAATTTGTGTGTCATCCTTGAGGGTGGGGCTCTGTGTGACTTGTTCTTTCTTCCTTCTGCTTGGTCTTGGACTTTTGTTGTCATTGCTAATGCAGATGTGATACTTTCCACAGAAAAGTGCTTAAGACAAAGAGAACATTGCTCATTTACTTGTCCTTAATTTATTAATTCATTAGACATTTAATGACCTCCTTTCTCCTTCTTATACTCTGTGGAATGCAAAACAGAACTGAATCTTCCCAGCATGTCCAGACAAGTAAAATCAGGCACACTGAGATTGGTGGGCTCTGGAGCTGGTCAGTCCTGGGGGGAGATGTCCACACTATGTGCTGGGCCTGGGCTGGAGTACCAAGGGGAAGCATTGTCCATCCCAGCGCCATCACCCTCAGATTGCAGGAATCTGGCTTGGCTTTAGCAAGTTCCTTGTTCCTGGGAGCCTGAATGGCCTCCCTGTGAGCTAGGGAATAGCACTGATATTGGCTCCTTTGGGCCCTGTGGGAGCCCAGAGCGGTCTCCAGGGGAGAAGCCAGGGTGGATACAAAAGAAGCAGAGACTGCCTTAGATGGAGACTTCAGCAGATAAGGAGGGGCCGCTGGGGCCAGGGCAGCCACAGTCACTCCTCAGTGCATAGCTGAGGCCTTAGGGGATGGGCAAGGTCACCAGCTCCCTGTGGGGACCTCTCAGCCCTTATTTCCTGCTCAGGGCTTCTGTGGGTGCCAAGGAGTTATGGTAGGACAGGATGGGGTGGCTTGGCTCTTCTCCTGCCCTTTTCGTGCTGACTCCTTGGCAGCACAGTGACAACAAACGCATGCAGACAGGAGAGGCAGAGGCAATCAGCACATCTGCAAGTCCCTTGTCTTGATCCATACAAGAATAAAGGAGTGGAAACAACAGCCTTTTCTGGGGAATAAGAGAAGCCAGACAACTGGCAGTTGTCACACTTTGGCCCACAGGACATCAGAAAGTATAAGGGCGACTTGGGAAAGCAGTGGGTGAAAGACTGAGCTAAGGGATAAGCATGTCAGGAGGGCAGCACTGTTTCCAGGAGTGGTGGGAGCCTGAGCCCTCCTCATGGTGTGCTCTGCTAGGCTGCTGCAGACACCTTGCCATGACCAGGGTGGTGATGAGCATTATGGGTTGGCACTTTTACTTTCATGTTTCTGTGGCTCTCATTCTTATAACCTCAGGGCAGAAGTGAGCAGAGGTTGCTTCAGCCTATGGCTTTTTAGCCAGGTCCCTTAAGGCTCTTCTAAGTCAGACTCATGAGGCTTAATCAGCAGATAGTGGCAAATATGTTCAAATAGGAGACAGATTTTGATGATTCACACCCATGAACTCTAACTGCCATGTTTCACAAGGTAAGCAGTGGGAACCAGCAAGGGGCAGCCAAAATAGCCCAGTGCAGTGGGTCTTGGGGCTTAGTGCCTGGGGGTTTAGGGTACTGGCTCCTGGAATTTCAGGAATAGTCATGTCTGTGGCTCACTTTGCATCCTTTTTTAGGAGTCTACTAGGCCCTTCAGCTGTCTGTTCCTTCTCTGTCTCTGCCAAATGGGCTGATCCTTGCAGGACTTTGGGGAATCATGAGCTCAGGAGGGCTGACCAGGCCCTATGTGTTACATAGTCACAAAGCCTTGTTACCTAGACGTGGGGCTGTCCTTCACCTCTGGAACTGGGGAGTGAGGATAGACAACATCTTGGCTTGCTGCAAGTCCCTCTCAATTCATCATGGTCACACATCTGCTGGTCCTGTGCCCCACTGGCCCTTCATCTCCTTCTTAGATTCTTCAAGACTGAACCACTGCAGGATGGCATGAATGCGTACTGTATGCCAGCCTCTGTATCACCTTGCGGGTGACTTAGCTCCTGCAGTGCTCTCAGCCATAATGGACCTTTCATTTTTACTCTTCTTCACAAATGGGGGAAATGAAGCTTAGAAGGCCCACAGTCCCACAGGGCAGCATGGGAGTCACACTATGGGGCTGACACCAGAAATGGTGATCAGAGAGGCTACATATATCACCCCGAGCCACACGGCATGCTTGAGCGAGTGTTGCCTTTTTTCCTGCGGAGTTTCTACTCCTTGAATCTCCCTGGACTTTCCCAGGACAGACAGGAGGTATCACATTGTTCCTTCTAAGTGAAACACAATGCGGGGACCAGGGAAGGAAGGCTGGTCCTGGCCTTATCTCTGAGACTGTGGAATTCTGCCATGGGCAAACCTTGGAGGGAGAGTGGGCATGCTTCCTCAGTTCTAATGGGCAACTGGGAACAGGTTCCTTTCCATATGATAGCCTTATGTGGAAACCAGGCTACCTACTGCTGGGCATCCCCAGTGCTAGAGTGGGAAGGGATGATCATGGTCTGTATTGTAGAACATTGGGTGACAGGAATCCTAGATGAGGCCTAGGTTAGGATTTCCCCTCTGCAGTTTTCCCCAGATCTGCTGAAATGCAGCCTATCTCAGATGCCTTGCTTGGAGGATGGACAGGCAGCTGGGGTATAGGCAGCTAGGGTATAAACAACTGGGTGCCCACAGATCCCATCAGAGCTGCTGAATTACTCTGTGAAGGTGCAGCTCCATTGGGTTCTCACTTCTTGCAGGATAACACATGAGAGTGGAGGTGATGGTGCCTCGGCACCTGATGAGTTCACAGTGGTGCTGACCTCTGCCTGTGATACTGAAGTAACCAGCTGCCCCTCATCACATTCAGAAGCTAGGCATGCAGCTCCAGTTTGGGCTAAGATCCTCACATCTCTGGATCACAGCCTCCCGTACTTGCTCTCCCTTGGTTAGAGCATTCAGAGCAGAGGGGCTTTACTCAGATATGTATGTGGGTGGTGTGTGGCAGGTACGTGTCAAGAGATCTGGCTGAGTGCTAGGGTTTCACAGATGGGATAGGAGTAGGGGTTGGGCAGCACCATGGCACCTGGTAAATTAAGGAGGGGTCTGTCAAAGACATTCTAAAAATGCAGAAGAAAGAGGACTACAATGGCAGTTTACTGTCCCTGGGCAGGAAAATGGCTGCTACTGGCCATCACATGTCCCATAAGCATAGTACTTGGAGTATGAGCAGTTCTAGGTCCCACTGGGTTTAGCTGAAGTGGGCAGGACTGGGCTGGCCCTGGTCTCTGACCCCAGATGCTCTACTTCTCTCTGACCTGCTCAGAGGCAGAGGGTGGCAGGCTGTGGGGAACTGGCTAGGACCCTCTCCTGCACCAGTGTTATTTTGGTGCCCAAGGATTTGGTTCCTGAAAATCAATTAAACTGAAGGGACCTCTCACCTCAGAGATTTAAAGTGCTTTTAAGAGGAGATTATTCAGAATTTTGTAATTTCTCCTTTGTAAGTGCTCCCCTCTCTCACCCTTATCTAAAGGAATTCATTTCCATCTTGCCTGAATGGAAAGTAGGGCCCTGCCTCCCTGACAGTCAGGGACCCATAGGCCTGGCTTCTGCCCCAAGGACAAGTGGGCTCAGATTCAGTGGTTGGGGAGGTGGACGCTACTGGTCAACCTCCTGTTAACTCCTTAACTGCTGGGTCAGTTTGCCCATAGAGCAACACACATCATCACTGTGTCAGATGCTGGAGGTCCCAGGGGTGGGGCACTGCAAATCATCCAGTCAGTGACTTCAAGGTGGAAGCCATGTCATATGAGAGTGGGGCATTCAAGACCCCAGAGAAGGAGCCTGGTATCCTATGGCCAATTGCATGTGCATGCCTATTGGAGGTTTGCATGTACATGTGTGCATGTGAGAATGTGTGTACTTGTGTAGGTGGCACTAGGGGAAAGGCTGCTGCTAAGAAGTCACTGTCCTCTCAGCTTCTGACTTCAGCATACAACCTGTGAGTTACCTCTCTTTCCTGGACCCTGAGCTATGTTACCTCCCAGGGGCTGGAAGAGCTGAAGTTTCACGGTCCAGGAGCAGAAGCAGCCCTAGAGCCACATTGATGGAAAGGGCTTCCCAACTTTCTAGTGAATGACCCTAACTTCATATGGTGGTAATGGCTTATACCAACCTTTCCTGTCTATTCCACCAGCCTATTCCCACCCTATGGTCTCACCAAGCATCAGCTCTGGAATAAACCAGTGTCCATGTCAAGGGAAATCATGTGAGGTCCAGGTGCAAAGGCACAGGATGTTGAGCAGGTATTGGGTGCTGGGTTGGTCTGGGGCCTGAGAATGCCAGAGCACTCTAAGGTGGCAGGGTGTGCTGCTCAGTGTGGTGGGTACAAGGGGGTACCAGCAGGAACCTTGAATGGAATGAGCAGGATCTGGGGCACCCATGGCCAAGTTTAGGCAGAAGGATGGATGGCTTGTCTTTGTTTTAGGGGGACAGCTCTGGTAGTTGCAGTAGGGAGGATGGTGGGCCACAGCGAGGCCACATAAGGCTCAGAGGCCAGGATGAGTATTTTCTAGAGGAGAACCTTGTGGCTGAGATCCTTAAAACCTCTTGAGCACAGCAGAGCCCCCAACTGATTGTTTGGGTTTCCCAGGCTGTGAGCCTTGTCTTCCCTGAATCTGGAGTCTGTACAAACTCTGGGCACAGCTGTGCAGGCTGTGGGTGGCTGAAGTGGTGACTTCTGGCAGAGGCCCAGCAGGTACTTTCCCTTTGGGCAAGGTCTGGCCTCCTAAGAGAGGAGCTGGCCTCAGGAAGTCCTGCCTCTGAACACCCCTCTCCCCCATTTCACTCTCCAAACTGCCTTTCCTCTCCTGGGAGCCCTGGTGATCAGCAGCCCCTGAATCTCCCTTCTGAGCTTTGGCAGACATGTACATTACTCAGGCTGTGCTTTGTCCTAAAAGTCACAGAAGGGGCTTAAGCTCAGGATGGTCTGGGGTCAGTCCTGGGCATCTCACCAGGGTAGGGGAAAGCATGGGAGGGCCACTATGCTTGGCCTGTCTTCAGTAGAATCACTTGAGACCAGACAGCCACCGTGTCTCTCGTGTCAGGGGTGACATTTTCCCCTTTTTTCAGAGGTGCAAACTGAGTTCCAGCATGATTTGAATAGAGATTAAACTGTGTT